GAACAAACACTAGAACACCATCAATTACACACAACCAGTAACTCCAATGGATGCATCACGCCTTCTACCATTTTGCCTTCCTTTACTTTTCTCCCAAATTATAACCATTCTGGGTTTTTCTTAACAAAATTCTTTTGGAATTCTATGGAAGTATATTTGTTTGAAGATTTCAGAGAGAAATTGGGTAAAAAAATTCAAACAGAAAGAAGATATATTCAAAAATGAATTTTTTTTTAATAGAATGTGATGCTAAGAAAAAGTTGAGAAAAATAAAAGATGGGTTACAATCAAATGCTAAGAAAAGATTGGAGAATGTTCTTGGAGTAAGCGGAAACAACAACTATCTCAAGAAATCTGAAATTCGAAAGCAAAGGCTTATTGAGAATATAAAAAACTCAAGGCATCTAGCAAACTCGGATGAGATCTGATTTTTGAGTGGCACTGAGTTAACATTCATCGTTGTTACACCTATCAAAACCTTCGATGGATTTGACACCTCAACAGCTTAGCCAATTCAATGGCACCGACCCATCAAAGTTCATCTACCTTGCAATCAAAGGCGCTATCTAGGATGTCACCGTCGCAAATCCTTCAGCAATCCTAGCCACGCCTACGCCTTGGTCGTAGGCAAAGGCGCCAGTAGAGCACTTGCAAAAATGAGCAAGAACATAGAATATGTTTGCCCCAATCTCGATGGCCTCTCTGGTAAGGAGATCGTTGTCCTTAATGATTGGGTCAAGAAATTTGAACCTAAGTATCCCGTTGTTGGTCGTTTTGTTGTCTCTTGAATTTGCAGCCACTCATTTCAAATCACTTTTAGCTCACAGGCTGGTGTCTTAAGTTGTGGGAATCTGTCGATCTACTACTTTCTGTACTTCATTTGTTTCCATCAATTTTTTAGCTTATGGAAATCTTATTCTCTACTATTTTCACCTTGTCTTTTGTGTTTGACTAATTCAGAATGCTTCAAAGTTAAATGAATGGTTGAAACTAATAAATGTTAAAAGCTGTTTGATTGTGTTTCTCAAAAGAAAAAAAAATATAATTCATTGTTGTTGGGTTGGTGCAAAGTTTCAATAACCAGAAAATGAAGATTTTGAAAATCTGGTGTTTGCCTTTTTGGACAGTGAGATTAGGAGTTTGAGTTGGAGATTTTGTTTAGAGATTCAATTGTTTAAGTACTGCTCTTATTCTTTTTTGTTTGATTTATCCTAGTCAAGGAGATCATGAACGGTAAGTTTTGATACAAATTCCATCACACAAGCAATCCATTGGAGAAGATGGACTGTAAACAGAAGCGTAAAATGGATATAAAATTTATGTCAAATGAAAATTTTAACAGTGTACTAACAGCAGGACTTATATATCTAGTTGTTTATATAATTTGAAGACGAAGTGTCCACTTCTAATGCTAATGGATCAAAAGTGAATTATGGTTAAAACTTAGGAGAACAAAGGTAATTTACCCACATATATGTATGTATGTTGTGATTGTTTGTTATGTTTGGAAATGAATGATTGATTTATAGATTAAATTCTAAGTTATAAAATAGTTATGGTAGATTAATGGATAGATGACTGTGTAATGTTAAACAGATGAATTCTAGAGAAAACCTTGAATACATGAGAAGTTCAAGTAGTGTATGGAAAAGTTGCAACAAGTTACCCATGGAGTTGGTTAAACAATTAATTATCATTATCCCTTGGGGAGGATATGATGATACAGATAAAGTGTAGCTTCCTCAAATTTCATAAATGTTCAGTTTTTCTTTTAAAGAACTATATGCTTATGAAATATTGATTCCGCTAAGGAAATCTAATTGGTTTATAATAACTCAATTCTATAAGAATTTGATAAAAAAGTGTGTTTATCTTAATATTCATGTTTATATTAAATATATGATTTGTGCAAAAACTCTTCTCCTTGACTTGTTTCTTTTGTATTAAGTCACGGAGTCTTTATGAGTCACACGTTAGTTCCTTTTTTTTTGTTTTTTGTAAATTATTTATTCACTAGCTAGCGGTTAGTGTCATGAAGACGTGATCTGTTCCTTCTTGGTAGGTGTTATAGCAGCCGTTTGCAATGTTGTGTTGTTAATGAGAGCAATTTCACACTTTTATTGAGAAGTTTCCTAACTGTATGATGTTGCGTATGTATGTATGTATGTATGAAAATATATTATATGATTGTTTGAATGGTTGATGTGG